CCTTAAATTCAATAAAATATCACATCTGGCATAAAGCATCAGCCGGCATAGTCCAAACATTGAATGTTGTGTAAAGCGAATGCTTTTCGAAACAATAATAGTAAAATTTATTAACTCAATAATCACGATATCTTCATGAATAAATATATATAGTCAAGCAATGCGTAAATGATTTACTTACTGAGTCGCATAGCATTTGCACATTAGTAAATAAAAAATCAAGATGATGCGTTACACAAATATAGCAGAGGAACACGTGAAAATACAGGTATTCAATAACCAATCAAAAGCAAGAATTTGCTCACACCATTCTAGATGGTGGTCTATACATTCTGTTATTATTATGCAAGCATGATGGTATATCATTTATATTCATTAAATGTATCACATGTTTTTATATACTTCATAATAATAACGAAACCATAACAGCAATTTAAACAAACTATATAATAGGTATTTTTTTCTTATTTATTCCATTGAGACTGAAAAAAGCTCCTTTATTGATTGGTTCGTTTGTTGTTTTCGCTTTATTTAATTACAGAAGCTTATAACAGTTTATCAAATAAAGACCCAAATCGGCTATGTTAAAACTGCGAAGGTTGAATCCACTATCAAAAGTCAAAAATCAACAATACTGTACTATTTTTCTCATCAGTACGAAATCTTCAAATTCATCTAACAATAAATGAAACCCAGTGAAATCCCAAATTTCCTGACGAAAAATAAAATGCTAGATCTGGCGAAATCCTATAGTTAATAAAGAAATTTAATATTTGAGGCCTATTAATGTTTATTTATTGCTATCAATTGCTAAGCATCAATTCATAGATATTATTAAATGCAGTGAAAATATTATTGAGTGTGGATAAAGAGAAATCTAATTAGAAATGTATAGTGATAACACATGTGTACTGTACATAAAGGTACTAGCACTTTTATAATTTTTTTTTGTTATTTATCAATTTCATCACTTTTTAATTTCGTCAACTTTATTATCTTTGCATTTGTAAGATATGTACCAGATTGGCCAAAGAGTGTTTAATTTTTCAATTATGAGTTTATTAAAATGTAGTAAAGATAACATTTTAGCAACATTTAGGTTCTAATATTAAAAATAAGAAATCTAAACTGCTTTATTATGTAAAAAACAAATATTTAAAGTAATTTTCTATATTACAATAAATTTATGCATTAATTTCATAAGAATTGAAATCACATTAAATTGATAGTTTGAATTATTAGATTGCAAAAGGAAATAACCCATTACACTTTCTTTTGCTTCATCAACGTAAATAGAAAATTAGAACCTGATTCTTATCTGTATCATAGTTATGATTGCAGCCCATTTATATAATAAATATGTGATGTAGGGTTTGGTTTGGGTTATAAACCAGTGGAGTAAGCCTAAACCAAACCAAACTGGTTTAATTATTCTAGCCTATACTCCAGTTTATACTCCAGCTTTATACTCTAGTTTTATACTCCAGTTTTATATTTCAGTTTATACTCCAGTTTTATACTCCAGTTTATACTCTAGTTTTATACTCCAGTTTATATTTCAATTTAATATTCCATTTCCCTATGAAAAAATATATATTGAAATTATCTTGAATTATATTAAATTTTTCTGTAAAATGTTTCTGTATAAAACCTATATGAAACTCCATATACAAATATATAGAATTGAAGACCAAATTCCGCACCACTTGATACAGAATTTTATATGGAAACTTTTTATTAATGATTTAAATTTATATATTTTATTATTTTTTTATATACTGTATAATAAGTATAAATTCTATATATATTAAATATAATTAAGTATAAATTTTGTAAAATTCTGCATATAATAAAATATAATTAACAATAAATTCTGTATATAATAAATATAATTGAGTATAAATTTTTTATATACAATTGTATAAACTAACTTATAGAATAGCAAGTAAGTTTTGTGTTAGAATTTTTTAACTAATACAGTCATCCTCCTCTATAATCACGCTGTTTGTCTTACATAAAAAATATGTGATTATAAAATTTTAATATTAATGTGATTATATAGAGTTTTTTTAATAAGTATATTGTTAATAATTTTTCAAAAAATAGTGCTTATAAAGAGGGTGTGATTTTATAGGAGGTGACTGTAGAGGAGGATGACTGTAGTAATAGAAATTATAACAATTCCAATACAAACTAACATATTTTTACCACATATTGTAATTACTAGAATAGTAAATTTGTAACAAATTATTTGCAGTATCTTATAATAGAAATCACAAAAATTTTAATACTAACTAATCCTCATTACATATTAATAGCTACAGTACTGAAATAGTGAGTAGTTCATGATAAGAATTATGACAATTTTAATGCAAACTGACTCAAACTTAACTAAATATTATATTATATTTACTAGAATAGTGAATAAGTTCTGTTTATATTAATTCATAATAGAAAATATAATAATTCTAATATAACATGTCTTAATCAGAATAGTATGTAAGTTCTGTAATAGTTCTTATATTAATTCAATACAAGCTAATTCATTTTTATTTGTAGTCACCAAAATAGCAAGTAAGTTCTATAACAAAATTTTTTATGTAACTCATAAATGAAATTAAGTTAATTTTTAATACAAGCACTAACGTGTCTTAATAGTAAAATAGCAAATAACTTCTGTAATAAAATTGTTTATAATATATAACTCATGATAGAATATATGACAATCTCAATGTAAACCAACTATATACATATATTGGTTACCAAGGGTTTGGATCAAAATCTGACAATAGAAAATTCTAACAACTCCTGACAATCAAAAAAAAAGTAGTCATTTGAGCAATCTTATTATATAATTGTCTAAATTCTAACCCAATCTAAATGCATACCTTAACTCTAACCTATGCACTTAGCTAACTTAAATGAACTTAAGAATTTTTTGTTGTTGTGATTTGTTGAGATTTTTTTACTGTTGAGATTTTGTGACCCATGTGCTGAAACTCTGGTCAAAATTGCAGATCATTTGGCCTAGTTTGAAATTATTCGACTTCAAGGCTGGCAATTGATCTGCAAATTTGCCAGAGTTATAACACATGAGTTTTTCTATTATCAAATTTTCATAAATCCGCCGATGTGTATAGAAAACTTTGTGAATGTGAAACGTAGTTGCTTTAACATGAATTTATTTTACTAATTCTATTTTTTAAAAGGAAAGTATATTTGTGTAACATCTATTCATAATTATAGTTGTTAGATGAAACCTTTTTCGCATGATGACGAAAGACGAAACCTAAACTCCCAAAAGACGAAACCTCTGACGAAAGTCGAAACCCAAATTCTTCTGACGAAAGACGAAACCTTAAACTTAAAATGACGAACTATTATGTTTAAAAAAGACAAAAGCCTAGCGCTCTCACCAAAATAAACAACTGTTATTTTTATTGAACTCACATTCATAATTTATTCAGTGATAATTACATGTATGACAGCAAAATAAACCAGTTCATTTTTTCAGGACAACACTAGGGTTGCTATAGACTGGTCCAAATAACCTTGTCTTATCCTCTGGCCAACCCTATCTACATGACTTTTTTTATGTACTTATTCCTACTGATAAACATCATCAACTTATTTTTACTGGCATACGTCATGGTATCTAGAAAATTGGTAATAGTTATATCCCAGATAGTTGGGCATAAGCGGAATGCAAATTATATTGTAAACAAAGAATACAATGCATAAGTGATTTAAACTTTCCAATTACTACATATTAATCAGTGTATATAGAAATTTATTAACTGATATCAAATAAAGCGTAATGTTTTAAGTGAATTACATATGCGAATTTCAATTAATTCATAGTTAATTTAGCGAAAAAAAAGCTACATAATGCATATTATATGAATTTAAAATAGTACATTAATTAAAATTAACAGTAAAAGTTTTGCACTTTATAAGTTTCACTTTTTTTTCGCCAGATTTATATTTGCCAGATTGATATTCACTAGACCATTTATTAATCGATTTATTATCAGAGCTAATAATATTAGTTGTTTCATTAAATGTTCTATTTATTGCACATATGCCGTTATATAATGAATCCGCCTTAAATTCACTTTTATTATGTTTCTTTATTGCTACAACAAATTTTGAAAGTAAAGTAGCAAGTATTCGTTTGTTATAAATTTGGTTGATATTAAGATCTAGTTGTGTAACATTAACATATTCTTCAAATCATGCTAATTACTTCTTTGAATATTTTTTTGGAATTGCAATTTGCTTATAATGACTTAATTTATTATTTGATGGGCATTGGTATTTAAATCTACTGAGCTATAATATCATTAAATTAACATAAATAAATATTAATAATGATTAAATACATTGACTTTTTTATTTGGTTTTACTGAAGATTTACTAGTCGTTTCCAAATTAGAACTTAATTTCTTAAGGTCACTTATTGCTTGAATTACTGGATCGATTTCTGAAGCAGGGTTAAATCCGGATTCCTTAAAAATCAAATATTTAATAATGATAATAGCGATAATGCAAATAAATAAATACTATATATTATGCATTATTGAAAAAAATTTTCTATCTATTTTTTTCTTTTTATTAAAGAAAGAAGGGTTTAAATGGTCATGTAGATGGCAGAGGATATAACTATTACTTATAGTTTATTGAGCCTTTATAAAGAGTCAAACTTTTATCGATACATAGAAAATTTGAACCTCAATAAAGACGCATTTAAGCGAAAAAAATTTTCGAACCTCTGAAACAAAATTTCATTCTTAAAAAAATATGCATTCTCAAGTAAATAAGTATCAAATAAAAATTTTACAGGAGAATTTTATTTGAGCGACTAGTACATTTCAATAAATATTGAAACGCATTTTTTAAGAGCATTAACGTTAAAAGATCTTGTGACGTGCTGAGTAACGTGATCCATTTTATCCAATTGGGGATGGTATTTAATAACCCAATCAGAACTTGGGTAGTATATGTCGATCACGCAAGAGTTCACCACCTCACTCCAAACTATACCACGTATAGAGAAGTAAAGGTTTAAACTCAAATATAACTGGATACGTTAAAAATACAGCTGGTATGATATGAATGGCGATGTTTTGCACATGAAATTGACATGTTGAAATTCATTAGAATATGAAATATTAACCAATATCCTTGTTTTTAAACAACGGTGTAAAGATACTATGCTAAATGCAAATGAATAGCTTAATGCAAAAATTCCGGAAATCAAAGAGCACAAACAACATATCTGAATATTTCCGGTCGATGTCAAAGTGGTCATGGCGTCTACAGTGACGGTTGTTATTATTGTAAAAATAAAAACTTTAACAACACGTATACACAACCCCAATACCGATTCTATAATACTATCTTGGAAGGATTGTTAAATCTTGATGATTTCGTTAATCTGGAGCAGCTACATATCCAAGGTAATGGACAGGATCAGGAACAACGGCAAAAGTTAACTAGTTTGAAAATCGATAAGTGCAATAAGTTAACTTCTCTAACAATTACTTATACTACTCTTACAAAATTAAATATTAGAGAGAATATTACTCTCAAAACTGTTGACTTGAGCTATAATCAATTAGGTTATTTAAGTTTAAATAGTAAAATGAAATGTGAAAGTCTTAATTTAGCCTACAACCAACAAATCATTTTCGATGATGATAGATTAAAAAGTCAAGTAGAAAGGTTAATTAATTCGATTCGAAATGTTGAGAGTACTGATCTTGGTGATTTAAAATTAGAGGTTAGGAAAATTGAAAAGGAAAATTTAGAGTTTCAATTAGTTATTGCTAAAAATATCAAAAATGGATTGAGTAAAGATAAACAATCGTTTGTAGAAATTTTACAAGAAGCACAACAAGAAGTTTTACAAAATGACAACGCTTTTACTCGAAAACTATTAGAAAATGCTAAAAAAAATTTATCTGATGTGCTAACTGCTGAAGAAATCCAAGACTTTTTAGGAAATATAGTGGAGAGTAATGAAATGGAAATTCAACTAAATGATCTCAAAATTCGAGAACATCAAGAACAAGCCTAAAACGAAAATCCTTCTAAACGAATTGATATTTTTTGTTCCTTACTGTTATTATGTAAATTTAGATTTAGATTATTGAAGAATCTCTTTCCATAAATGACACGAAAAGTTATTTCTCGTTCTGTAAAATTTTGAAGGGATTAATGCCATTTTTATACATTGTTTTCAGAAGGTATCTCGAAGCTATGGATATTAGACAGCTTACACAAAATTTTGGAGACATGTTATGAAATAATCTTGTTTCAATTTTACTTACTACAAGTTACTCTTATTATAATGAAGTGACGGTTCCATTAATAATATATTGAGAGTTTAGTAAATTCATTATACCGAGAGAATTTTATAATTTTACTATATTGAATTAGTCTTCATTATATTGAGAGTTCACCATAATAAGGGTGATTTATCTTACTTATTTCAATTAACTTTCCTTATATTATATATTGGACGTTTTTACATTGTAAGAATATCTGTAGATCTGAGTCAGCTTAAGTTGACTTCAAATTTTAAAAAAACTTAAGTTGCGACAGAATTTTAAATAATCAAACGAATATGTATTTTTATAAGTATATTTAAAAGCAATCGTATTTTATTTTTTAATTAAAAATATCTTTTATTTCAAGTTTTGATTAACAAATATTTTCAAAAAAAAAAAAACCTGCAGTACAGAGAACTATAAGTAATTAAAAATTAACATTTAGTTTACGATTCAAAAATAGAATTCTTAATATTACCTACAATATAAACAAACTAAGTTACTAGGGCTGATTGAATATGAAGAACTTAAAAATATCGTACGTGAAAGCGAAAGAATGCAATCTACATTTACCGTTAACTAGCATAAAATTCAATTGCATGGAACCATACTATTTATAAAAAAAAAAAAAAGATAATGCATTTACAGCCGTTCTCATAAATTCTGGGACACTTGATAAAAATTAGCCGAATGATTTTTCGGCCAATTTGATTAAGTTTATAATTTTGGTATAAATTGACAGTATACATAATTAAGATCCAGTGATTTATGTAATATAACAAGACTTTAGTACGTACGTACGTACGTGCATATATCTCTGGTTAACACAGAAATGTTGAAAACAGAAATATGATCTTTCAAAGCATATATACAGTACAGTCAAACCTTTTTATAATCACACACTTAGATACAATTATAGAGAAGGGTGACAATAGAGTCAAATTTATTGTATATAGTTTGTTTTAAAAAAAAAAATGCTTATAAAGAAATTTTGCTTATATATGAAGAGACTATAGGAGGTTTGACTGTAATTAAAAAAAAATTTAGAAAGCTTATCAGTTTGAAAATTTTCTAAACACTTAAGCGTTAGTAGACCTATAAGTCGTACTTTCAAAAATACGGCGTTTACTAAATCTGAATGATATATGGGGTGAGTCAGTAGAAACGCACCATATTTTTTCTAAGTAAATTTTTTTGAAACTTTAAACAAGAATAATTCAACAACTTAATTAAATTTAATAAAAATTTTTTTAAGCCAATTCAAAAAATTTGTAAAATTTATTTAAAAAAATTTTTACTAAATTTGGTTAAGTTTTTGTTGATTTATTTTTGTTTGAAGATTCAAACCAATTTCATTAAAAAAACATGGTGCGTTTCTACTGACTCACCCCCATATCTTAAATTTCAATAAAAATATATATACTCTCTTTTTTAATATTTGGGCCAATTTGTCTAATTGTCCGGAGCGGAGTGAAGGACTTACTGTCCAGATTTCTGTCCAGACCTCTGTCACGGGTGCCCCTGTAAAAATATATAGATATTTAATTTACCTGGGGTATTTTGTATTATTCATAAAGCATGAGGATGGATTAAATTCATATTCGCCATGCAGATTTATTTATACAACCAGAAAGTTTATTTTTTTGTACATAACAATAAATGAATAAATAAATAATAAATATATTTTAACGCGAAGAAATAATTGGTAAAAAGAGAATATAAAAAAGAATAATAAATGTATTTTTAACGTGAAGAATAATCATTAAAAAGAGAATATAAAAAGAGAAAACAATATAAACTTTAATATCTAATACAGTATATTATGACTGAATTCCTTCTGGAAGCGTATGCAAAAATTACATAGGTAGTCTTAATTAAAATAATGTAACAAAAATTTTATTAAAAATTTAACCAAAATTAATTGTTTTTGTAATGGTTAATATTAATAAAACTCATTTAAATTATTAAACTATGTAAAAATAAAATGTATAGTATGATGTAAAAAAAAAATAAGAAATAAAGAGAAATAATACAAATAATCAAAAAAAATATTATTAGTAAACAATAATGTAGTTAATCACTTATTACGTGTTTCGCTTTTATTACGTGTTTCACTTTATTACTCATTTTAGTTTTATTACACGTTTTATTTTAATACAATTAATACATTATTTATTAAAATTAAAATTTAATGACTTATCAAAATTTTACAAATATTAAAGTGAATAAAGTATTGCTCAAGTGTTTTCATACTTTTTATTATGGATTTTTCATTATTGATAAAACTTTCGGTATAGTGATTGAGATCTTCTATCGGTGCAATTGAGCAACACTACAATTATTAGAAAATCTCAGTAATAGTAAAGCTTGAGCATACATCAATAATATCATCATTCGTATTATTGGCAACAGGAGGAACCGTTGATGTTACACAAATGATTTTACACACGGTGTGAAACACATAAAAAAATTATTTTACAATACTTGATCGGACTTGATCAGTCAGCTAGTTCATGTTACGATTATAATCCAACATCATTTTTTTATAATAAAAATGGTGTTGGATTATAATCATAACATGTACTAGCTGACTGATCAAGTCCGATCAAGTATTGTAAAATAATTTTTTTATGTGCTTCACACCGTGTGTAAAATCATTTGTGCAACATCAACGGGTTCCTCCTGTTATTATTGACTGCAATTCTTGAATGTGCGCCAAGTTGATGGCGCATTACCCAGCCACAATGATCTCTTTTATTTCAAAAACTTCACCATGTTTTCATCAAACACCCTGTACTTTGAATGTTTTCTATTTATTTTGTGAATTGAAAACATAACAGAAATAATATAATTTTAAAACATTAGTTCGTTCTTATAAAAAGGTACCATTATAAAGGGGGGTTGACCGTACTTAATATGTAAGTGGAAGTATGTAAAGTTAACAAAACTTATAAAATTTAGTTTTAAAAGCGAAACGTCTTTAACATCAAGGAAACTACTATTATTCTTTTTTATAGATTGTAGATTATGAGAAAAGCTTTTCTTCATTTGAAGAATTTTTTTTATAAATCATATAGCACGTGTTATTTGAAATTTATTATTATACTTTTAAAGCTAATATTTTCTTATCGCGTATTTAATTAAGAACTTTGCGTTCTGTCTGTAAAAAATTTAAAAATTATAATCTATAAACATTATAAAAGTAAAGAATACAGTATTTTTTTTTTTGAATTAAACCAATAATATTAGAAGCTAAAGATTATGAAAAATGAAGGGAAACGTACTTTTTTTGAATATAACATGATTCGAGTGTTTCGTTCTATTAAATTATAATTTTATTATTGTTATAAACTATTTGACAGATTAATGCGCCACCTACCTGGCACACATTCAAGAATTACTTATTGGCTTATATCCAAATGTTATAAATTAAATCGCATCTAGGTTGATGCTTGAGAATAGAATTACTTATTTCCCACTGTGGAATATGAATTACATGACATGGTAAATATTGATAATTCGTAAATTTCAGAGTTATGATTAGAGCAATTTTAGGGTCGGTTAGAACAGAGACAATAATAAAATTTAGCAAGGAATTTTTTTATTAAAACATAAAAGGCAGTTATTTAGGCAACATTTTTTTTATTTTAAATTTACAAATATATAAAAATTTTTTTACAAATTTGATCAATGGTTATTGAGAAATCTTCAACAGGAGGAAACGTCGATGTTACACGACTGAACCTGTGCAGCAGCAGCATATAAAAAAATTATTTTACAATACCAGATAATTCCGCCAGTACAAGTTATTATGATTATAATTCCACACCATTTTATTATAATAGAAAATGGTGTGGGATTATAATCATAACATGTACTGGCAGAATGATCTAGTATTGTAAAATAATTTTTTTATATGTTGTACACTGGGTGAAGGTTCAGTCGTGTAACATCGACGTTTCCTCCTGTTGAAATCTTCGCTAGAAGTTTAAAGAAATTTAAAATTTTATAAAATGGATTTTGATTGGAAGTGATATGCAGCCCGGAATTTGCTTGACGTAAGGGAACCCAGTGTTACCCGTCGCACGCTATGTTCTATTGATAACAAGATCCCGTGAATGGTAAAAATGCGCAGAAAGTGACGTTAATGGGAAAATTGGCTAATCATAAATGGCTAATCACTATTGGAAATAAGATCATGCAATATGATATCAGCACATTAGTATTCTTGATCTATGTACATATCGTATCACATAAAGGGGGAATTTGCATACGGACATTATTAGGATTTAATTTCTTCAATAATCTCGTCAGACGAAACCATTGACGAACTAATTTATTATGCAAAAATATTTTATCATTAGCACCAGATTGGTGTGTTTTTTTTTTTATCTTTGTCATCTCATTCGGATTATTGAATTTTATATCGGATAATTTCGTAAACTGCCAGGTTTTATTTTACAACCATTCCTTTTTTGGTTTGTATCACTGGCACAAAATAGGGATGATAAAATTTTGAAAAAAAACTAAGCTCCTGGGACGTGGTTACTAATTAAAATAACATTAACGTTTTCCTTGTTTATGATAGATCCAGAGATGTCTACTATTGAGCTTAACTGCCTTATTCATGGAGATACTCCAGACATTACTAATATTTTTTCAGTAAAATTCGATTCTGAAACGATTGTCAACAGGCTCAGAGATATTATTAAAGAGAAGATTAAAGAGATGAAGCAAGATCTTCCTTGGGTTGATGATGTAATAAAGCTTAAATTGTGGAAGGTTAATGGGGTAGATTGAAGAAGAGTTAACCCAGTGATCATCACAACATCACATGACATGTGTTCGGTCTAAGCTAGGGTTAGGTTAGGGTTAGATTAGGGTATATTTATGCCAGTTTGTTTTAATTCTGGTAAACAAATGATGTCATTATATGTTTATCATGTGATCATTGATCACTGGGTTAACTGTTCTTCAAGTGTCCCGGTTAATGAACCAATTGAGAAATTGAATATCCTTTTTGACAACCCCAATGTGGATATTAAAAGAAAGTTTGGAGGCAAAAAGTTGTTTATACCAGTAGATAAGATTGCCAAATATTTTCCTTACAAGCTTAACAAAGAATATATACACACTATAGTTGAATTACCGGGTTATCATCTCACTCTTACAAGTTGTGTTAAAAGAAATGAAATTGTTCCTATGTATAAGATCATTTACAGAGAAGGTCCCCTCGATCTAGAAGGTGAAATTGTCTACACTGATGTAGGAGTTTGAATTAAGTTAGTTTATAAATCTGAAGAATTTATGCTGGATACATTTGCTAAATTCATTGGACAAGTGAAACAAATTCAAGATTTAAGTTCTGATAAAGAGACCAAACCTTATATCTGGAGCACAAACACAATGTAAAATTTAATGGTGAGTGAAAATCCTTAATTATTGGAAATTCTATCGATTCTTAATAAATTTATTTCTAGATCTATTTGCATGAGTCAAATGAACTATTATCCTGAACTAATTTTTGTGATCGGGTGCTTAGTCAAAGAAAATTTCACAAAAATATAGAAGGTTATAAAACCTTTCATATATATGTTTACTATTGCATACAGCATTTGATTGGTACAATTTTTGTGTGATAAAGGAATTAAAAGATTTGCATATAGCACTATGTCATTCGATACTGTATGCAGTGGTGTTCAATCACCATGAATCTTACTTTCATCAAAATCATTATATTGAATAAGAACTTTTTTTATTATATTTAGAAGAAAAAACAAATTTGTAGATAAATTGGATGACTAGGTGATCGAAAAATTCTTTCAATCCCAGACAAAGTAATCATTAGAAAACTTTTTCTTGTTGAGAGTGCTTTCTTGAAGAAATTTCAAAGAAAAGAAATATTTGCAATAAGTTTTGGATTGGTTGATAGAAGAGAAGCTATAATTGTTACTATAGGTCTACCAAAAGGATCATTATTACGTTTTTACTTACTATCTATATATGAAGGCTTTCCGGTAATTATTAATTATGGGGTTGCCATACCATTTCATCGAAATTACCATGAGAAATTTAGACCTGGTATCAGCATTGGATGTTTCAAAAATCCTCCAAATGCATGTATATTAGGCCTATTAGTTCAAGCAAAACCGGAATCTGCTGACACTGGTACAGGATCAAAGATTGCCAAAGAATCAAATATTGCCACAGGATCAGAGATTACCACAGAATCAAAGATTGCCAAAGGATCAAAGATTGCCACAAAATTAAAGATGGCAACAGGATCAAAGTCAAGATCTAGTTTTTATATTCTTACTGCAAAACATGGAATTGAAAAGAAAGGCATGCTGGTAGTATAACACTAGTATGACCAGACAGATTTGATAATGTAACTATTTAATGAAAATTTTACTTTATATTGTTACATTGTTGATTATCTTTTTTTTTGATAAAGATTTCTTTTAAGTTTTGTGCCACAGTTACCAAGTATTGTATCTTGAAAGTTGACAACGATGGACTCCTTATTGATTATGCTTTTTGCAAGATTAGCAATAATAATAGTGCGCTAGCAGATTCAAATAGAATATATAGAACTGAAATAACTATCTCCGGTTTCAAGACTTCTGTAAGCAATGATCCAAATAATGTAATATGTGTTAAAAAGGTTAGCAGAAGTATATTTTTTATGGAAAGAACTATGAAAGATGAATGGGTTAATATTAAATCTTTAGCTTTTGATCCTCCAATGATAGTCTCTCATCAGGAAATTTTTTTTATTGCAGTTTTGCACAGATTTGCAAAAAAATTAAATAATAAATCAAATGAAAATCTGTGCAAAACTTCAAATTTGATACTATAAATTAGATGGAGTTCTGTACAAAACTTCAAATTCTAAAGAATTTCGCAGATTTTTTACAACAATTCTTCAAAAATCTGCAAAAATACAGATTCTTGCAAATTTGCACTTATTTAATTTTCCTAATGCTGCTTTACGAGTAACTGGTATCAATGGACCATTTGGTAAGTCAATAGTCATTTGAGTAATATTTTGCAATTAACTTTATTTACGATTAATTTGCAATATAGGTGTACCAGGTGATTCGGGCTCCCCAGTTGTTGATTAAAATAATCAGTTAGTGGGATTCTTCATGAAGGGATTATTGACGAGCTAGATGCATATGTGATCCCTATCCATTTGACTATAGAACATGCTAGAAGACGTCGTTATATGGAATTCGAGTTAATATAATATTTAGGTTGTGATGAGAACTATGTTACAGAATACATAGTAATATTGATGTTCAACCATGTGATATTGCAACTAGCTGAAAATTAATAAAATAACCTAATTTGCTTTCAGTTTTTGTATAATTTCCAATTCTGTATTTCAACATTATCCATATACACGTATCAAGCATGTAGAGTTTAGTATGTACAAATTATTTAAAAGTGACTTATTTACCCATTTATAATTTCTGTTTTTAAAACTAAATATGCAGGCCAATAAACAGCTTCAGCATTAAATATAAATAAAAAGAAAGCCTTAATAATAAATCATTGTTTTTTGGTTAAATATATAAATTTATAGGGTTAATGGCTTTGCTAAAAATTGATATTCATCAAATTTTTTTTGCAGGAGCACTAGAATTTGCTAAGAGTTTCGGTAATAACAGATTTTTTTTAGTAGTTTTACTTTTTTTTTTTAGCAAGAGTACTAGGGTTTTGTCAGTTAAGTTTGGGTTTCAGCTTTCATCAGAAGGATTTAAGGGTTTTGACTTTTGTCTGAAGAATTTGAGGTTTCAACTTTTAGCAGAGGTTTTGTCATTTAAGGCTCAGGTTTTGGCTTTTGTCATCAAGCAAAAATGGTTTCATCTAACAATTATACTCATAACTCATTTGAACTTGTCATGTACAATCGAACTAATTCTGTGTGGTTTCACACATTGTGTAGCCACTCTTGTTTAATAAATAATACTTAACTAATATCATTATACTAAAAACTCTCTAGACTGCAATGCACGCAGGAGATCGTACTGGCATCATGCGCTGCGCAACTATCTCTTATATCATAATTCAAATAACAGGTTTGGGTAAAATTACTCTCAGTTTAATAATACTGCAGCACTTGCACTTTCTTAAATTGTTATGCTAGAATATACAGTGTCATATTTAGAGAATAAAGACAAGAATACTGGTAAATAAACTTGTTATAATACCATCTCAATTATATAAAGGGAAATCTATTTTTTGCATAAAATAATATTCTTTGCACAATTTTACACCTTTTATACATAATTTTATACATAATTTTGATATATATATCAAGGAAGTAACTATCTATAAATGTAGCTAAGCAATTAAATAAATTTCTTCTTAATGTATACCAATATGTTGAGATTATGTGCAAAATTCAATTTTAAAAAGTGTATTAAATAACCATCTTAATAGGTTATTTCTAATATAAATATAACTTATTTTAAAATATAAAATATCCTATTTGTCGAGATAAAAATATTATAAATATCTAAATGTGTTAAAAAGCTTCTGCTACTCCTTTTTCACTAAAATAATTTCTAGAAATGTCTAAAAATGTCAAAGTACTATTCACACACATATTGTATCTTATTTTTTTTTCACTTTCAGGTCCAATATTGTTATGGAAAAGATTTAAAATAGTTAGACTGAATTCTTACTTAGAGCATCTGCTAACAAATGTCTCACTTTAAGAGTTAATTAATTGAAAGAAAGAACTAAGAGTACATAGTATTTATATAAAGTGCACTTGAAATTGCATTTCCTCCGATTTTACGAAGTTTTGTTGTACTAATGACTTCCGAAACAATCAAATTATAATTAAGATTCAACAATGTCAGTGTGGTGTTTTTCGAAAGCACATTTGCAACTGCTTTTTCTCCTTCAGAGAAAATGTTGTTATTACTAAGATCCAAAGTACTTATGACACCATTTTTGTGTAGTGCTTCTGCTATTACCTTTCCTCCTTCATCATCAATACTAATTATTTCCATTGAAAAAAAAAGGCTGTAAGGGTATTATTTTTATAAGGTAGAGATGGGAAAAATGCACATTTTATAATAACATGCGCATGAATGCGCATTAATGCACACGTTATATAAAATGCGCATGATATTGCATGATATAATTTTTTTGATTTTATATTTTCCCTCCTCGACCCTCTTATCTTTATGTTCATTCGGGATTTTTCAAAACTTCTGCATTCCTATTTCTTAATTTTGCCTGGCATTATACACCTTGGCCTAAATTAAATATACTTTAATTTTCCTATATAAAATTTAGATGGGATAAAATGCGCATGAATGCGCACGCATGAAACCCATCTCTAATGATGGGTCATTTTGACCCGGGTCAAAATAGAATTGGCCTTATTGTTTTTACTGCAAAGAAAATTTTGACTTCACAATTAAAAAGTTAAATGTATCATATTGCTGAGTTGCCTGCAGAATAGACAAAGGGGTAAATCGAAATCGAGATTAGTTATGTGAATTGGCCTGGTCTTCATCGTTTTTATCATAATATCATTATTTTCATTGTCGTATTCATTAGTTAACATCATTTCCATTGAGATATTTTCGCTCAAAGTTTTAGAAAAATTTGACACAGCTTTTTTATTTGATAGTCGCTTTTGACTTTCTAAACCTTTGAGCAAAGATATCTTGATAATCATTTAACAAAACTCAATGAAATTTTTTTTTTTAAATTCTAAGAATCTGTAGAATTCAAATAACGAGTGATTATTGAGATACCTAAGCTCAAGGATTTAGAAAAATCAAAAAAAAACATTAAAATAAATTTTTCTATGACTTTGAGCGAAGATATTTCTATAACCACTTAACAAAATTCAATGAAATTTTTAAACAAAAAAATTTTTATCAAATTTGTCAGGTTATCAAGATATCCTCGCTCAACTTTTTAAAATAATCAAAAATATCTATCAAAATAAAAGCTGTGAAAAATTTAAGAATTTGAGTGAGATATCTCTATACCCACCTGGCAAAATTTGATAAAAATTTTTTTCTATAATTGTAGAATACAAATAAAAAAAAAATTATATAGTTTTGTCAGAGATATCTTAATTCAAAAGTTTAGAAAATCAAAAATATTTATCAAAATAAAAGTTGCGCTAAATTTTCCAAAATTTGAGAGATTTATTTGAATTCTATAAGTCTGTAGAATTCAAATGAAAATATTTTTTTATCAAACTTGGTCAGGTAGTTATCGAGAAATCTTTGTTCAAAGTTTTAGAAAAATAATAGCCAATTTTTCTAAGATTTTTTGCAAATTAAATCTGATTAGATGATTATCATTTTGTAATTTTTACTTCAGTACTTGCAAATCAATAGAAATTTGAAAAAAATTCTATATCCCTGATGGGACCCGATTAGTGATGGGAAAATGCGTATTTTATATTAATGCGCACATTATATAAAATACGCATGATATCGCATGATATAATTTTTGAAATTTATATTTTCCCTTCGAAAAATATCAGATATGTGATCAAATTTTTACTCAGATCTTGCTCTTATTTTATGTTCATTCATTTTCTTTTCAGAAATTTACAAGACTTTTGCATCCATATTCCTTAATTCCGCCTGACAATACACCCCCTGGCCTAAATTATATATACTTTAGTTTTACTATAAAAAATTTAGATAGGATAAAATGCGCATGATTCCAAAACATGTGCATGAATGCGCATTAATGCACACGCATGAAACTCATCTCTAGACCCGATCTACATTGTGTAACCTTTGTATCTTTTTATAACTGATAACAAAACATGAATTTTTTGAATAAAAAATAAAAGAAGCGTGTTCGTATGGCCTAATAACTATGCAGTGCTAAAAACACTTAAGCATTCTGTCCAAAAACAATAAAAAAGACTATACAGTACTAATACTATCCTAATGCTTCGAACAAAGCCTGTTATATGGACAAAGAATTCCAATACCTCTGAGCCGGATCGAACTCGCGATCACACAGTGCAGACCCACTATGCGACCTGCCTTCACTGTTAATCTACATCAGAATAGTACTAAATAAATTTTTTATCATTATTTGACACTAAAAAAATACTGTAACTCATAGTAGAAATCACAATAATTCTGATTATCTCACTGGAATAGCAAATTCTTTAAAGAATATTTTTAGTAACTTATAAAAATTATGATAATTTCAATGCAAACTAACTTACCATATTTTTGGTTACTAGAATGGTGAGTGAGTATTGTAATAGAATTCCTTGCAGTAGTTTATAAAATTATGTTAATTCTAATAGCAAGTTTTACTTTAGCTCATGGTAGAAGTTACAATAATTCTGATACAAACTAACTACATATTATGCTAGACTAGAATAGCAAATTCTGTAACATATAAGATCTTTTGCAAAAACTCTTGATACTATAAAGTAACCAAACATGAATCGTATTTTTGTATCATATAAACATGTGAAAAATCTATACAGTAGCATATAAAATGTTAATTTTCAGGTTATTAAATTTGAGAATTTAACCAAATTACAAAAAACAGATAGAGTATCTTTATTTTAAATTTTATATAATATATCGATATTTTAGAATGGTGCTAATTATCTATACCATACTGATCTTTTATAATCTTGTTTTGAGATTATCTGATAATTATATGTTATAAAAAATATATTAAGGCCAATTGGACTTATAAAGTCCAATTCAAATTTATTAGCCCTTTTAGCCTTATGTCCAATTAGCCATGTCCAATTGGACATGTCCAATAATAACACTGTCGTATATAGCTTGATAATGCATAATTTTTTATAAGATTTAATTTGGCAGTTTTTTAACAATAATAATATTGCAGAAGATAATGAATACTACTCTGGTATATGTGTTGACCTTCTTGAAAAGTTTTAGATAATAAAGTTCACTGAATAATTTCGAATGTATTGACTTTCTTTTTTACGCAATAAAAATTATATATTTAAAATTTTAATTAAGTCTTATAAATTTGATATATAATATAAACATGCTATGCTGTGCTACGAGATCTTGCAAATATCAAATTTTAAATAGTGGGAGTTAACTGTAACAATAATCGGTTACCAGATTCCAAAAATTTGGTTATGTTAATTTAATATATATAATCAGTTATGATT